TATGTTGAATTCTCCTCTGCTCAAGCCCCGTCCTAAATATACACGTACCCTTACTTAAAACTTCCCCAGTTTTGCTGTTCAGAGAGACACTGCTTTAGGAAAGATCTCTGGTATTCTCCTTACCTGCTGCAAATAATAAATCCTTCCTTCTCCCAATCTTTACCTTGACACCCTCCTAGAGGTGATCCCAGTTTTCAGGTAACACTAGTGGATGGAGGCCAGGACTACAGCTCAACATCCTGAGATGCACAAGGCAGAGCTCCCACCCCCAACAGAGAACGATCCAGCCCCAAATGTCAAGAGTCAAGAAACTGGCACTGGGCTTCCCTGGTGGCGCAGTGGTTGAGAGTCCGCCTGCCGATGCAGCGGACACGGGTTCGTGCCCCGGTCTGGGAAGATCCCACATGCCGCAGAGAGGCTGGGCCTGTGAGCCGTGGCCGCTGAGCCTGCGCATCCGGAGCCTGTGCTCCGCAGCAGGAGAGGCCACAACAGTGAGAGGCCCGTGCACTTTTTCGCTGTAAAGACTATATAGAGCAGGCAAGCTATCCAGCCTCCCTGGGCCTCAGTTTCAACAATGTGAAATGAGGATAAGGTAATAAATCTTTGCGTTGAGGACTCCATAGGTAAAGTGCCTCACTAGGAAGCAACAGCTGCTATGATGATTGTCATTCTTAAGACCTTAGGCTCCAAGGCTCCCACAGACCCGAGTTCAAATCCGAAATTCAGACAAGTGCTATCACTACCTGTCTCAGAGTCATGGGGGGAGACTACTGGGGCACACAGCCTCGGTGTGGTGGGGGGGATTTAGGGGTACAGAGTAAACTCTCACAGAGCTCAGAAGTGCCTGAGCCTGGAAGGGGCATTAGGGAACATAAGACCATCTGGCTTCTGGGTACCACAGATGCCATGGCAACGGGACAGGACGGGCTCTGTTGCGATATGAATTGGAGAAGGTTTGGGGGAAGAATCATGCTGGCCTTGAGCACAGAGCAGGGAGCATGCCTGAGACCTGGCCCATCTGGTGGGTGGCTGGCAGGACGATGGTTCTGAGGATCCTTCCCTAGCTTTCTAGAACATATAGGGTAGCTGCAAGGAGGGAGATTCACCAAGAGCAGGGACAGGTACACTAGGGTAATCCAGGACAATCAGAGGGAACCTGGGCCATTCAGAGGGTGGGCAGAGAATTTCCCAGAGCCGAGAAGACCCAGCCTGCCTGCCCACTCGCCCAGTCTGACCAGAAACCCAGGTCCAAGCTTGGGACATGTGGCCCTGGGGGTGCACCCTGGTTCCAGCCTCCAGGGACAGAGCTGGCTTTAGCCACAGTGGAATCACTGGGAGATTGGGCAACAAGTATGCACCGCCCACAGATGTCCAGAAAGTCGTGAGAAAAAGGGACAAGCCTGGGGATAAGGGAGGGGGGTCACGGGAGACAGAAGGACGCCCAGGCTGCAGAGACAGACACATTAGTGCCCGCTGACTGCAGTCCCCAGAGGCCCTCTCTTGCACATTCCCTCCTCCGTAGCCTCATCTCCGCAGCAGCAGCCAGAGACGCAAAGCCAGGAGAGGGGAAGCCCCCCCTTCCTAAAAGGAAGGTTCTGGAGATCCTGGGGTAAGCCCCTTCTCACAGCCTCAGTTTCTCCCTCAGAGGGAATTCCCTGGCAGGCCAGTGGTTAGGACTCCGTGCTTCCACTGCAGGGGGCACGGGTTCGATCCCTGGTCGGGGAACTAGGATCCAGCAAGCCCCAGGGCATGGGAAAAAAAAAAAAGGAACTGGTTTCATACCCACCCCTCTCGGAAGGTAATGCCTTGTCCCAAACAACAGGAGAGTACTTTGAAAATCCGAGTACCTGTTTACAAGACAATATCCCTGGGTAGCCAGAAGCCAGCAGGGAACTACCTGGGGGTAGAAGCTGCAGACTTGAACCACCACTCCAGGCACACGGCCCGACGGGGAGGAGCTCCACCCCCGCCCCATGCTGAGCCTCCGAGCCACAGCCGGCAGGGCCCCGGCAGTAATTGCAGGCTTGCTTTGGCCTTCCTGGTGGCTCCAAGCCAGGACAAGTTTCATTCCGGAAGGGCGGGCCACAGCAGGGGAGCGGAGTGGCGGTGGAGGCGGGGTGGGGGGGGCGGTACTCAGGTGGAGGCTGGTTGGCAGTGGGCTGGCCTGGGGCCCATGGGCTGAGGCCCAGACTCCTGCGGCCTCTAACACACCCCTAACATGGCAGGTGGCCTCTGATGGCCCTCCCAGCCTTCCCTCGCCCCACCACCGGGTCTAAAGGGTGAAGCAGTGAGCCATTTCTTGTTCCAGACACCTGCAAGGGGGCCCAGCAGCAGCCTTTCTGGTCTAGCAGTGTGGGCGGTTTGGATTTGCTCAGTTAATAATGATCACCCAAAACAAAAAGCAACAAAAACTAAAACCCAAACCCAACTTTGTCCTCATCAAGCCCCTGGGCTGAGCACGCACAGATTGGCCTCTGGGGATGTTTTCACCAGAGGAAACAGGAGAAAAGACAGTACAGAATCACCCAGCAAGTGGGTCTGCAAACGCTGAAGGAGGAAGCTGGTGGGCGAAGCTAGTGGGTGGCTAGCCCAGGATGCACGAGAGAAAAGGACGCCCGGTGGTGGCCAGAGGACCTGGACCATGGATCTCACCACCCTGAGCTCTCTTTCCTTATCTATGATAAGGTGCTGGGTATACACAAGCAAAAGTCCACTGGTCTGGAGAAAGATCGCTACCCACCCACCCCATCCTCTGCCCCCAAATCCAGGAGAGAAAGAAAAACAATGGACTCTGTTTTAGTAGACACGTCTTCTCTGTGCCTCAACTCCCTCATCCGTAAAATGGTGCTAGTGAAAGCGCCTACTTTAATTCTGACCCAGGCTTGGGGCGGGGTTAACTAAGTGAATATGTGGAACGAGCCCAGCAAAGCACCTGGCTGGCAGTAAGTATAAATACACTGTCTCTTCTAAGAACAGGGCATGTGATCTGGTCTCTAACCGGCAGCCCCTGGGGTTGAATGCTGAGTCTTCAGGGGCCCTTCAGAGTCTCACAGAATCTTCTGAGGGTGCTTCTCAGGTTAGCTCTGTAAACACACAGGACTTTGCACGAAGCCTCAATTAACACAGCGGCTAATTCCCCAACATGTCTTTCCAGGGCTCCAAGGAAGAGCAGAGCATTTCCAAGACTCCCCGCTCAGCTCACCCTGGCCCCCTAGGACCACCCTGTGCTCTGCTCAATCCCTTGGGAGAACTTCCCAAACTGAGGGAAACTGAGGCCCAGACTACCAAGGGAATGGCTCAGGGGGAGCGCAACCTCCAGCTCGCCCGGCAGGACAGTTAGATCAACCGTGCTTGGCAAACATAGCTGTACTTTGGACTCACCTGGGACACCTGAGTCCCCTGCCCGGCCCAGCCCAGCCCAGCCCCAGAGATCCCGGGATTTCTAGCCATGCCCCGTCCCCTGATGGTACAACCCTCAGCAACAGAGGGGAAAAGAAACAGGCCCTGTGACTCCATTGAGGAGGACAAGGTCTGCATTCATCTCACCATTTCCAGGTACTTTCACAAACAAGTCGTGGAACAAGAGAAAAAGCTGTGCATTTGCTGGTTTTGTCATTCCCCTCGCCTTGCTCCCCCCTCTGCAGCTGGGCCCCGAGTGAAGAGTTAACAGGAAGTGCCTGGCGTCCTGCAGCCACAGAAGCCCATTGTTCTCCAGCTGGCCCCCTCCCCCTCGTCCAGGAAGACCCTCCAGGGAGCTCCTTCAAAAGGGCCGGGCCGGTGTCGCCATACTGCAGGCCAGCCAGTCAGGAGAGCCAGCACAGGAAAAGGAAACCCGCCGGGCGCGGGCTGGGGCACAGCTGTCACCGCAGAGTCTCGGGGGGTTTCCGAGGAAGGGGGGCTCAGCCTCATCCGCCCCTGGCGGGGGGATGGTGCAGCCCTCCCCCACAGTCCCCATCTGGAAGCCGGAAGGCTTTGATCTCAATTCTTTAAGTACAACTTAAGCTTCTGCCTCCCTCCACCCATTTGCCCCCCACCCCTCCCACCCCCAGCATCTCTGGGTTAGAAAGTTTCACACCGCACCCCTCCTCCGTCTGATTTCACATCTCTCTTGCAGGCACTAACCGCCGGCTTTTTCTGATTAGCAGACTCGGATTGCGGGGGGCTGGGGAGTGGGTGCTGTGCTTTGGCGGGGTGGCCTGGATTTGGGGGGCCAAAGGAGGCAGAGAGCTGCGAGCAATTCCCTGGGAGACCCTGGGGGGCAAGCAGGGTGAGGGTGAGCAGCTGGCAACCAGATGTGAGTGGACAGGTTGAGGGGGAAATTAATTGGTGCCAGTGGGGGTGGGCGGAGAAGGCAGGACCCCAGGGGGCCCCCGGGTAGCTACCTAGGTACAGGAGGGAGGGTGGCGAGACTGAACGCTGAGATAACTTCTTAAGTGAGAGTCAACAATGTGCTGGGGAGGGGGCGCTGATCTGAAGCCGATTGGGCCAGGAGGCTGGAAGGCAGCGAGAACTAAAAGGGCAGGGAGGGGCGGCGAGGTAGGGACCCAGGGGAATTTCTGCTGAGAGGGGCTGCAAGAAAGGGGCAGGCAGGGAGCTGGCCTTGGAGAGGGTTCGGGCCTGGACATAAGGTGGAGGGCCTTAGGCCCTAGGCTCAGCTCGCCTGGACACAAATTTGGGGTGACCTTAGCTCCCCGGACACAGGTGGGCAAAACACCCCTCTAGGCTGAGCCTCAGAAAACAGATATGAAATACCCTAGTGAGAGCAGTCCCGGACACAGGTGGGGAAGGTCTGGGCTCCCCCGAACACAGGTGTGCGGATCTGAGCTCCACTACACACTGCTGTGGAGGTTCTGGGTTCCCCTAGACACCGGTGTGGGGTTCTGGGCTCCCCTAAACATACATGGGGGGAGGGTTTCAGCAGCCCCCACGCCAAGGGCGGGTAGCATGAGCCTCAAACTCTGGCAACCCCCATTTCCCTTCAGCTTTTCTATGCCATTTACCTGATTCCGAGCCGACGCCCAGCCCCAGGAACCCCCTGCTCGACCTCTGCCTTCCTGCTCGGCGCCTAAACCCCGCCCCGCACCTAAACCCCGCCCCTACAACCGCAGGGCGCGCTGGGGCGGGAGGGGGAGGCAAGCGCCGAAGGTCTGGGCGGAATCCGGAAGGGACCAGTTTGGGGGCGAGGGGGCGGAGCCGGGGTCACAGACCAACACCTGGAGCTCTAGGAAGTACTTAGCTCGGTGCAGCGCGCGGGGGCGGGGCCCAGAAAGGAGTGCAAAGCGGGTAAATTTGCATATCCCGCCCCCCGTCTGTGATTGACACCCAGATAACCCCGCCCCGCGCCCTGGCTACGTTACCCACCCAGAGGGCCCAGCCTCGGACTTAAATTTCCCAGCCTAGATCAAGTCCCCGCCCTGCGCCACTAGCAATCTGGACGAGGCCTGCGTTTTACCGCCGCGGGCGGGTGGACGTCTCTCAGGTTCCTGAAACCGGGTAAGCCGGCCTGGGAGCCGCTTCTGGGCTGGTCTCGACCTGTGGACCGGCCCTTTCCCAGCTCAGCGGAGTCCGAACTGGGGCATCTGTTCCTTGGGTCCCACACAGTGGAGGAGGCGGGGGTGGGGGTGGGCGTGGTGAGCGAATATCTTGATGGTGGGGGGGGACACCACTAGACCTGTCCCGTATTTGCTCTCCTGCAGGACAATCTTCTCTGGACCTCGGTTTCCCAGTCTGTGAAAAGTGGACATTAAAAGGACCGACCTCAAAGGAAAGTAGCAAATACATCATTCACTCACAAAAAACACTTAGTAAGCATCTACTAGATTCATCTCTGCCCTGATGGAGGCCACAAGCTAGAAAAGGAGACAGACCCAGAAAGAAATGTAACATTGCAGTTGTGATAAATACTACTGCTACCACCACTACCACTACCACTACTATTACTACTACTACTACTACTACTACTACAAAGTAGTTCCTGATCAGAACAGCAATAAATATAGGGGTCTTAGGCTAAAAACGGAGGGCAGAAAGGTAAGTTCCCTGATGATTTGCCCTTGAGCTAAGCTGACTTAACTAGGTAAATAGGGAAGAGAAAAGACTCTTAGCAGATAATAGCATATACAAAGGCCCTGTGGCTGGAAAGATTGTGGAAATATAAGGAACAAAAAGCAGATCAGTGTGGCCAGAGAATGATGCAAGATTAGCCAGAGATGGGCTGGGCACAGATCAAGCAGAGTCTTTCAGACAGTCGTAGGGGTTTTGTCCCTCTTCCAGAAGCAGAATTTTCCTAACTCTGGGACAGTGGGCAAAGTGATTCAATGTTATTTAAATAATGTAACGAATCCCTCAGAGTCTCTCCCTTTTCAGCTAGTCTAAGGATCGTCTTTGGCAATAATGTGTCTTTAACCTTTCTAATCTTCCTTTGTAACAAAGGAAGCTGTCTGGAACCTAACATTGGCTACTGTTTCAGCAGGGTCTTATGACAGTGTTTCATTTTAATTGTAACTTTTATACACTGTTACCTTCTAAGTATGGTGAGTGATTGACAAGTGGGTTAAGTTTAAAATATCTATTACTTAAATAATAGTACTGTTGTTAGCAGATATGACAAAAATCCTGACCCTCAACTGCCTGAAGTTTGGGAAATTCAATTCTAAGAGCCATGGGAAGCCACTGATTAATGAGATAATAAATATTAAGCGTTTAGCACCTGCTTACCCCAGCCAACCTCATTCACTTACTCAGGACTGGGCTGGGCATTCATGGAATTGACATTTATATGGGGCCATGGATGCTAAATAGAACTTAAATACATCCTTTCAGGAGGTGAGCAGTGCTCTAAAGAAGGCTGAACAGGGTAAAGGAGTAGGTAGCAGAGTGGGGTGCTATTTTAGATCAGGTAGCCAAAGAAGGCCTCCCCAGGGAGGTGACATTTCAGCAGAAAGTGAGGATGGACTTGTGGATGTCTGGGAGAAGAGCATTGCAGGCAGAAGGAACAGCAGGTGCAAAGGTCCTGGGGTTGGAACACACCTGTCCTGTTCTCCAAGCAAAAAGGAGGCCAGTGTAGATGAAGCAGAGGAAAGCTGGGATAGTGAAATGATCCTGTTTGCATTTTTATAAGATCAGTGCAGCTGCTGCATAGAATAGACTGTGGGCGTCAAGGGCAGGGAGGAAGCCACTGCCCTCACCCAGGTGAGAGGTGAAGGCAGCTCACAGCAAGGTGGGAGCCATGAGGATGGGGAAAAGCTTGGAGTGGGATGAATAGTCAAGTTGACAGCACCTGCGACTGGACAGGGTATGAAGGAAGGAGAAAAAGGAAGTCAAGGAAGATTCCTCCTCCGGTGAAAGGCTGGCAGGAAGCAGCAAGAATCCTTTTTAGGTCCTGCTAGGTTTGGAATACCTTAGAGCCTCAAGGGGAGACAGAGAGAGAGGACTTGGCCAGACAAGTCTGGAGGTTGGGGGGAGGTCCAGGATGGAGAGCAAAATTTGGGAGTCAGCATAGAGGTAGCAGTTAGGGCCTTAAGACTGAATAAGCCTACCTAAGGGTGAGTATAGACAGAGATGGACCCAGGGCCTGAGGCAGGAACCACAGGTGAGGTGGGAGTGTGAGTGTGGGGGCCTGAAAGCAGGAAGAATCAACCCTGTCAAATCATTAGCATTAGACCAGACTCAAGCTGGGAGGGGAGCTCTCGTTCACACTGAGCTACTGGATGAGGAACCATTCTTCCAGCTCTCTGGGCTTAGCACAGTGTCTGTACACACTTTCCCATACATATACGTGTACTTGATTGCTGTATGTGCTTTTATTATTTTTTTCAAAACAAACAACTTTTTTTAAATTGAAGTATAGTTGATTTACCATGTTGTGTTTGTTTCAGGTGTACAGCAAAGTGATTCAGAGATATATATAGACATAGATAGATGGACCTTTTTTTTTTTAAGTCTTCATTGAATTTGTTACAATATTTCTTCTGTTTTATGGGGGTTTTTTTGGCCCTGAGGCATGTGGGATCTTAGCTCTCCAACCAGGGATCGAACCCACATCCCCTGAATTGGAAGGCGAAGTCTTAACCACTGGACCGCCAGGGAAGTCCCTAGATATATATTCTTTTTCAAATTCTTTTCCATTATAGGTTATTACAAGATATGAATATAGTTTCCTGTGCCATACAGTAGGTCCTTGCTGTTTATTTTATATATAGTAGTGAATATCTGCTGTATGTGCTTTTTTATAAATTTATTTATTTTTGGCTGTGTTGGTTCTTCATTGCTGCGAGCGGGCTTTCTCTAGTTGCGGTTAGCAGCCTTCTCATTGTGGTGCTTTCTCTTGTGGCAGAGCACGGGCTCTAGGCACGCAGGCTTCAGTAGTTGTGGCTCGCGGGCTCAGTAGTTGTGGCTCACAGGCTCTAGAGTGCAGGCTCAGTAGTTGTAGCACATGGGCTTAGTGGCTCCGTAGCATGTGGGATCTTTCTGGACCAGGGCTCGAACTCATGTCCCCTGCATTGGCAGGAGGATTCTTAACCACTGCGCCACCAAGGAAGTCCCCAATTTGTGCCAATTTTGGACAATGCTGTAGTGAATACCCTTCTGGAACCTCTTTTTCCAGGCCTGAGGTTCCGTGGGGATCCACGGGCTATGAGATCTGTGACAGTTTTAGTTTTCACAGCTATTGTCCAATCGATTATTCCCCAGAGGGCTTGTCTCAATAATCCAATGCCATGTAATGGCGTGGAAAGTCCATGGCTCATCAGTGTCGACTGTTGTGACAAATTTTCAATTTTGTCTCTTCTGATGGGTGAAATGGGGTCTTGGGGAAGGGTATACGTTAAGCGGATGTATGTGAGGGGCACTTAGCCTGTCTCCCACAGCATCACCTCCAGCCCTCAGCCCCCAGTGACCGAGTACCGGAAACCCCCAGGCGGCCCGGGCGGGGGCGGGGGTCGGCCAAGCAGCTTCCCGTGGAAGGAAGCGCCCGGCGGTTCCTGCGACAGGATGCGCAGAGATGCCCCTCCCCAGCCGCCAGGGACTTCCCGGGGCCGGGCCAGGTTCTCGAGGGAGTTGACCCCAAGCGGACGCATTGAGCTACCGCGAGGGGTGTGGGGCTCCAGTCCCCCAGCATCCCACTGCGGAGCTGTGGGTCGGTCCCCCGAGTGGGAGGCACTAAAGTCTTTCACATTTCCCGGGAGGGAAACGGGCTGCGGTGGAGGCGAGATTCCCCTGAGGGGCCCTGAGGGAGGCAGGGAGGAGGGAGTGCGATGAGTGAACGACGCAGGAGGGGAGCCAGGGGCGGGCATTCGGGGGCGGGGCCTCCCCTCCCCCGCGCCCTCCTCCCTCAACCCTCGAGGTCAGGTCCCCCGGGTCTCGGGAGGCCAGCCGTGGCGGAGCCTGCTGTCTGGAGGCGGGGCGGGAGCTTTCCCGGCGCCTCCCGCCGCCCTCACCGCCCGCACCTGCGGCTCCTTTGTCCTCCCAACAGCCCCCACCCCCCACCCCCCAGCCTCAGTGCAACATCTACAGCCGCTCTCCTAAACCAGCACTGGGGAAATTGTGAGGGGTTCCTCCTCTCTGGGGGGCTAACCTGGGGATGGGGTGGGGCCAAAGCAAACAAGCGCTCCCACGGGAATTTCTAAACCCACAGCCTCGCAGGGAAGCTGTTGAGGCCCACTTTGCAGATGAGGAAACTGAGGCTGGGAGCACACCTCCTAGCCTGAACCACAGTTATACCGCCAGGGACTGGAACTGGGCATAAAGTGTGCTCCAAAGCTCACCTCAGTTCCACCCCAGTTGTGGGATCCCTGCTGATTCAGTTAATCAAGTGGGGGGGGGGGAGGGAGGACTGTTGGGAGACATCCTTCAAGTCTCCAAAGGAGGTGTGGTCCCCCGACTCTGCTGCGGGCACAGTACCCAAAGTATCCCCCAAACGTCTGAACTCGGAAAGCACTCTGACCCAGCCAGAAATACAGGAGAATGTCCAAGGAACCCCCAAACGTGAGAGGGTTAAGGAAAGGTCAGAGCACCAGGCAATCAGCACTCAGTGCTCTGGCAAAGAAAAGGCGCCCGGCCCCTTCCCGCCCACTCTGCCCACGTGGTAGCCGGTCAGACCGGTTTCTGGGGCCCCAGCAAGCCGCCAGCCAGCTCCTGACCCCTTAACCCTGCCCCTCCCCCACCAGGGAAGAAAACCAGACGGGCTCCACAGACTTTTTCTTCAAATGGTCTTTATTTTCCTATCTGGCATTTCTAGCAAAAAGGCCAGACAGATGGAGTTAACAGAATCCACCACAGTAAAGGTAAACAGAACCCCCCCTCCCCCAAAACTGGCCCAGTCTCACCAGCAACTGATCCCAGCTCAGCTTTACAGCGCTCTGAACAACCCCCTCCCCCCATTTCCGTGATTCATACCAGGAACGTCTGGGTTGATTGTGTCTGTAGGTCTGAGGGAGGCTCAAGCTTGAGACTGTCAACATATTCCCACCTCTCACACACCAGATGAGAAAAATTTTAACCTGAAATTTGATCTGCCCTCTGCCCCCGAAGGCGTAGGGGCTCGGGGCAATAACCCACACCACGCGGAGGCGAAGTGACTCAGGCCGCCCTCCTCCCATTCCCCTGGGCGTCCACACCCCAGATCCTCCTCCCAGGCCTCACACCCACGCAAGACAACAGGAAGCTCCCCACGTCTGCCCATGACGCAACGATGACCGCTTGCACAAGTATGTCACTGGAGGGGGAAGGGAAGTGCCTGGAATTCTCTGAGGTTGGAAACGCAAACACCAACTATTGAAAAACCTTGAAAGGGCAGCACAGCCCCCAGTAAAAAATAAAGTACGACCCTGAGGAGTTTAAAGAACCAAAGCTCCCTTCTCCAAGTCCCAGAAGGAGAGCGTAAGGTCCATATCCCAGTCCGTTAAGACAGCACCTGTGGGCGCGGCAGGTCTGGGGGAAGACGCCCGCGCCCCCGGCTCAGGTTTCTTGGTGTCGCCGCTGCACACAGGTGGCGACGGCACCCCGTGGGTAGAGTCCCTCTCAGGGCATCTCGGCAGCCAGGGCGGCTGCCCCTCTCCACGGTTTCCACGGGCGCTCCCCCGGGGGTGGGCCTCGCCTTGGGTCTGCTCACTCTGGCCGACGGTTCGGCCCGCGCTCTGGGCTCTGGTAGCGCCGCTCACGGACCCTCAGAAGGCCACCACGGCCCGCACCAGCACGTTCAGCATATTGTCCGCCGGGCGGCAAGCCGGCTTCGCCTCGCACGCCGGCGGCGCCGTCGGGGGCGCGGCGGGGCTGCAGTTCAGGAGGCCGGAGAAGCGCCTCTGCAGGACACGCGCCAGGTTGGGGAATGCGCCCTCCGCTTGCGCCGGAGGGGGCTGCAGGCGATCAAGGACGTCCGAAGAGTGCCTTTCCTCCTCCTCCTCTTCTTCTAGGCGGGCTTTCTTACTCGGGACCAGTGCAGCGTCCCCACCGTCGCTCAGGCTGCAGCTCCGCCGCTTGCGGCTGACTTTGGCGGGGCGCTGGGCACTGCGGGCAGGGGTCTCCTCCGCTCTTGGTGTCTCCTGCGTGTCCATGGGTTCCGGAGAGGGCTGCTCACCGTCGCAGGGCGCTACCTCTGCTGCGGCTTCCGCTTCCCGCGGCGGGTGCAGGCAAGGGTCAGGGGAGCGGGCGGGCGGCAAGGGCACCTCGGGCTCCTGGGCTTCCACCTTGGCCGAGAGGTAGAGCTCCCGGGCGCTGCGCATGACCAGCGACAGCTGCAGACTCCGGTGCAGCCGCAGGCCACCGCGCTGCATGCGCGAATGGTACATCTTCCACACCGACAGGGTCATGATGCGTTGCGCCTCCTTCTGCACTTCCATAGCTGCTTGACTGAGGGGCAAAGGCGGCGGGGACACGCGGCTGGGCAGGGCAGGTGGCAGGTGCACACTGGACAAGGCGCTCGTTCACGCCTCTCTGTACAAGCCAACCCACGCCGAGACGCTGCCAGGACGCTCTACCCCGGCGCCCGCCACCCGGGCCCTTTTGTACCTCAAGTGAAGTCACTGAGACGCCCCGCCCAATCAGAAAGTCGCATCCGGGCTTTCCACAGCTCTGAGGCGAAAGACTCCTTAAAGCGACAGGGTGGAATTTACCGAGCAAAGAAAAGGGACTCGAACCCGTGTGAGGAGGAGCGTTCCCCAGCCCAAGCTGAGCTCTCGGGGTGGTCTGCTTCTTCAGGGCCCCCCACTGCACCCGCGCGCGGGCCCAGGGGACAGGCGCCGTGGGTGGGGCTCAGGGTCCACCCAAGGGTTGCATCTGGAGACCCCTGCGGGTCGTAGGCAGCACGTTTCCCTTCGCACCCGGGAAGACTTGGGTTCTAACTGATACATCCCCCGTGGGAACTGTGCCTAGCATCTACCAGGCGCCTAATTAATGTCTTGTTTGATCCCCCGTGGGAACTGTGCCTAGCATCTACCAGGCGCCTAATTAATGTCTTGTTTTTGTTTTTTTTAATCAATAACGATGCTTACACTTACTAAGCTCTTACTACGTGCCAGGCGCTAAAGGCTTTCCTTTCACAAACATCTCATTGATCTCTCACCTCCACTCCGCGGAGGGTAGTTATATCTTATTTCTTCAGGTGAGGAAACCGAGGCAGAATGACTCGTCCAATATTTGCTAAACGAATAAATGAGCCACGGCGGTGAAAGGGGACCACTGGAACCTGAAGCTCTCCTGTCTCTCCAGCGTCCGCCAGCCCCCGTCACTCCCCTCGTTTGGAAGCAGTTAAGAAAGCGGGACACGCTGGCTGGCTCTAGGGCAAAGTTGCCCACTACACGGGCGGCGGACGTCTGCAGACACAAGCGCAGCCCAGGCTGCCATCTCTGCGCTCCTCTTTGAGCATCCCCCCTCCGCCACCCCAGTTTCCGTTGGCACGAAATCCACGATGGGCGTGGAGCTCGTAAGGCGGAGGACCCGGCCGCAACACAGCCCGAGTGAACATGTGGCTGCGGTCCCCCAAACGACGCAGACGTTCTCCGCCTCTGCTTCCCGGGAGGCGGAGTTGGGATAGGACCTAGAAACTGAGCCACGCACTGATAGAGCAGATAGATAGAAAACATCGGCCCCACCTTCCGCTACGCACTACAGTTCCAAGAAAACCTAATTCCAGTTCCTCAGAAAATGCAGAATTGTTCGAACAGCTCCATTCACTCGTGGTGCGGGCCCTTTAAGGGGAGGCTTCCCCCGCCACACACACACACACACCCCCGCACTGGTGCGCGAACCTTCCCGCCACTAGATCTGCCAGACTTCCACAACTATATTTGGAAGTAATGACGTAGGGCATGCGCGCTAGCCGCTTCCGGCTGCCCATATAAGGACTGGGGCCAGGATCTCTATACAAGACTTCAGCCGGCTTTTTCCGGGCCAGCGGGCGGGCGTGGGTGGTGCCTTACCCTCCTGGCAGGCCCCCTCCGCTCTCCCTCTCCCAGCCGCTAGAGCTGGTTGGAGCCCCCGCTTTCAGGAGCGGCGTCCAGGGGTGGGCCCGCGGAGAGCGAGAAGAAACTTTCGCTTCCTTCCCTCCGGAGTCCAGGAAGGTGTGACGCCCCTCCGGAAAGCCCCCTGCCGGCAGGTAGGGGCCACCTCAGGGCTCACACTGACGCCATCTCCCAGAGACCTACACAAAGACCTTGCCAACACAAGCAGCTACTCCCTGAGGACCACTACATTCCTGTCCCCGCCCCTCCCCCCCATGGACACCCTGCCAGGCCCCCTCTCATGTATTCCTGCCCCTCCGCCAAAAAATTGCTCTTCTCGTTCACATTTGGAGCATGCTCATGTCCCCCACTCCCAACCCCGGCACATGAAAACAACAATTATTCTCTCTTCTAAAAGACTTCTCCCAAAACTGTCCCCATTCAACGATCCTGCCACATACTACGGCAACCTGCTGAGGACACCGCCATCCTCCCCCCCCCCACGAAACTCCACAATGACATCCCCAGCCCAGACGCTATCTCTGACACACAACGGGGGCGACCCTCCGAGGACTTCTTCAGACATCCCGCTCCAGAGATCAGGACCCCACTCAGCCGACAGCTGCCTCCCGCCCCCATAAAAAAAGTGCTTTCCCGGAGACCCTACACAGAAGGGCTCTGTCACACAGGTGGCGACCCTATGAGTCCCTCTCCAGACATTCCTGACCCCTCCTCACAAGCAGAGGATTTCCCTGCAGACCATCCTCAGAGCCACCACCACACCCACTCCCGCACCCCCAGGCTCGCACCCAGAAAGACCTCACCCCCCAGAAGCATCTCCGGGCCCCCACTCGCGGCCAACCCGCCCTAGGGCGATCTCGAGGCGTCCCTCCTCCGCAGGAAAAAAGAGGAGGAGAGAGTCCAGCAGAACTCCCCACACTTCACCCTGCCCCCGCGGGAAGGTGGGGATACCACCTCTCCCAATACTCCTTACCAAACCTGCCACTCCCGACCCTGGGCTGGGACCATCTCTCATCTCCCATCTCCTAGGACAGGATCTAGGTGCAGGCTCAGGGAGCCCATGAAGATGATCTACAGATTGAGCCCCTTCCCCAGCCATAATCTCTCCTGATTTAAAGGAGACTATTATTATTTACATTGCCCGGAAGGGAAACAGGTTGCGCAGCAACAATCCGAGAGGTTGGGTCTCGAACCGAGGGATTTGGAGCTCTGAGTCGAACCCAGCCAGACGGAACTAGGACACCTCCGGGGACCAGGACGCGAAGGGGCGGTACGTGCAGACAGGAAGCCGTCTCTGCCCACAACCAAGATGGCGAAAGAGAGAGCGGATGTTTCCGCACTTCGGGCTGCCAAGGCCTCTCTTTCTCTCCTGGCGGCCCAGCTCTCAATGATGGCAGTGGTCACGTGACGGGGGCGGGGGTGACGGCTCGTTTTGCACCTCTTGGAGGGAACCAGCTTCCCAGGCCGAGAGGGGAGGGGGCTTGCCTTCGGGCGGGTGAGGGGCGTGACATGTCGCTCGAAGATCCGTTTTTTGTAGTCCGAGGGTGAGTGACAGCGATGGGGGAGGACAGAGGGTGTGCTGTCCCCCTGCCAGCCAGTGCCCGCGTGCCATACGGAGCATGTCAGGCATTCTGGGCACCGCCGTCGGGATCGCCCCGTGGCCGTGTGGGAGGGGTACGCAGTGGGATATGAGGGTCTCCTGAGTCCCCAGCTCGTTTGGGGGCGCAGTGGTGGGAGGGAGGACCGCCTGCCCCCAGCCGCGCCCGCTGTGCCCCTGCCCGCAGCGAGGTGCAGAAGGCGGTGAACACGGCCCGCGGGCTTTACCAGCGGTGGTGCGAGCTTCTGCATGAGGGCGCGGCGGTCGGACGCGAGGAGCTGGACTGGACGACCAATGAGCTGCGGAATGGCCTGCGCAGCATCGAGTGGGACCTCGAGGACCTGGAGGAGACCATCGATATCCTGGGGGGGGGGGGGGGGGGTTGGAGGGCGGCATGGGAGAACCCATTGTAGTGGCAGTGGGCCGTGGGAGCCAGCCCTCGGGGAGGCTGGACACCTAGGAGGTGTTTGAGGGCTTTGAGGCAGAGGAGGGCGTTCTGTCGGGCTCTGGCCTTGACTCTTGACTCGCGGCTTACGCATAGTGGAAGCCAACCCAGGCAAGTTCAAGCTCCCAGCTGGAGACCTGCAGGAGAGAAAGGTGTTTGTGGAGAGGATGCGGGAAGCAGTCCAGGTGAAGAGAGTTTCCAGTGGGGTGAGGGTGGGGAGGTTGGGGTATCATTACTCTCTGATGCTGTCCTTACCCCTAGGAAATGAAGGACCATATGGTCAGCCCCGCAGCCATAGCCTTCATGGAGAGGAATAATAGAGAGGTAAAGGCATCCCGACCCAGTATCCTCACCCCCTGTCTCTCGGGGTGACCCTCCCCTTGGAGTGCAAGCCACCCTCTGTGTCAGTGCTCATCTCTGTGCACAGTTGTCTCCATGCTGTCTACCCGCCTGCTCTTTCTGGATGTGAGCTCCTTCTGTGTGTATAATCTCTTCTGCCTTCTCCTGTGGGTCTATACTGGTTTCCTGTCGGGGGGGGTGGGTGGCCTATCTCCTTTCTTTTTTTTTTTTTTTTTAGCTCTCTGTGTTACTGTTTTCAGGATTTGATGCTTACCTTTTTAATCTGTGTATGCACTTGACCTCTCTGAACTTGACCTCTGAGTGGATCCCCACCTGCCTTGTGCATGCACACCATTTTCCTCTGTGGGTGTGCGTGCCCCACGTGTGTACCCACTCATGCCTTTTGTGCGCATTCTCTCTGCTGCCTCTGTCTGTACACCTTTTTCCTCTGTGTTGTGTGTTCGTTCTTGCATGTTGTAAACAGCAGCCTCACCCATTAAACCCACATGGGGTCTGGGAGGGTGGAGGGCTGAGGTCTGCAGCAGCTTGGAGTCCTATAGCAGGGTCCACATGCCTTCCATGTGTGCTGCTTTGGGTATTAAAGTTCAATTCTTAAATACATGTGTTTATAGGATAATAAGTGTTCTCCCTGGATTAATTCATTAAATCCTTATTCCATCCTCAGGAAACAGGAATTATAGCTCTCCCCATTTTACAGATGAGGAAACTGAGGCACAGGGAAGTCAAGTGATATGGCCTCGGGGTCACCTTGCTAGTAAGTGGTGGCTCTGAGGAACCCAGGCCGTCCCACTCCAGAGACTGCCTTCCTGACAAACCACCATCTAAATTTGCCACAAACCTTGTCTGTCTCTGCCGTGAGTGGGCGACCCTCCCTGAGCCTGTGGTCTTGGCCTCCACAGATGCTGACAGGCAAGCCAGCCACCCTGAAGTCAACCAGCGACTTGCTGGACGCCAGTGTGGTCTCAACCACCTCTCGCTACATTGAAGAGCAGCAGGCCACACAGCAGGTGTGTGTGGGTGGCTGGAGGCCCCGGGCTGGAGGAGCCTTCAGGCAGCTCAGGGCTCCCTGCCGACCGCAGTTCCCACCCCTCCAACCTGCAGCTGATCATGGACCAGCAGGACCAACAACTGGAAATGGTGTCTGGGAGTATCCAGGTTCTGAAACACATGTCCGGCCGCGTCGGGGAGGAGCTAAATGAGCAGGGCATGTGAGGCCAGGACCCCAGGGGTGGGCCAGGAACCCTTGGCTGGCTGCACTGGTGTGCACAGACCCTCCAGGGGCTGATTACCTCCTGATCTCGGCAGTATGCTGGACACCTTTGCTCATGAGATGGACCACACCCAGTCCCGGATGGATGGGGTCCTCAGGAAGATGGCCAAAGTATCCCACATGACCAGTGGTGAGTCCCGTGGAGGTGGGGGGGGGGGGGGGGGCGGGGGGGGGGGGGGGGGGGGGGAATTCGGCAGTGGGGGGAGGGGGTTGTGGGTGGTGCTGCCTCCCCTCTGTGAACTCTGACCCTCTTGCTCCCAGACCGCCGACAGTGGTGTGCCATTGTGGTGCTGCTGGGGGTGCTTCTCCTGGCCCTCATCCTGTTCTTCTCTCTCTGATCCTGGTCCTCCCCAGGAAGCTGGTCCCTCCAGCTGGGGGGCTCAGCAGAGCCTTGCCGCCTGGGAGGAGGGGGATCATGCCTGGGGAGCTGTCCCAAGGCTTCATCCAGAGCCAGTAGGACCCTCATGGCCCTGGGTGGGAGCCCCCACCACTGGTTCTGTCTCAAGTGCGCTTAGGGGGTGGTGGAGGTAGGGGGACCTCAGACACGCCCCTCCCCATCTCTCCTTCCCGTGCCCCAAAGCCATCGCTTTGCCCGTGTGCCTTCTACATGTGTCAACTTGGAAATAAAATCCCAGCCTTTGTTATATACATTTGTATCGTATGATGTGTCGATCTGAACTTGTGGCTGTCCCTGAATGGGAGCTCCTGTTCTAAGCCCCCTGCTTGCACACGCTGGGGCGAAGTGTGCATGTGTGTGTTAAGGATTTCAATGGTTGATATTTGGTGCAGAAAAGACTGTTCTGGTTTATTTCTTGGATTTCATGATGGATAATTTTATTACCATCGAAATTCCAAACACTGATTCTTCTTGAGCTTTTGAAGTTCAGCCTAAACGTCTTTTGCTTGTTCTTTGTCTAAGGTAGGTAGGTGAGTCCCTTAGCTGTGGAACTGAGCTGTCACTTCCAAGGGGCCTCTGAGTACCACTAGGCTCCCTCGTACACCTGGTCACTCTAACAAGAAAGCATTTGTAAATTTAAGGGCTTTGCCATAGAGCCTTCCTGAGTAGGAGAAATGATTCCTATAAGCCAGGTAAACTTGTAAGTGCTGTGAATCTTAACTTATTGTCTTACATGTTTCCGTCTTGAGCATTATGTAATCAGGCATCAGGCCCACCCTTCTCAGTCACTCATTTATACATTGTAAAGTGCTCTGACAAGGATGTCTGTCATTCCATTAGGCTGATTTGTCAAAGAGAACCAAATATGTTCAGATTATTTTTTTTTGGTCGCACCATGTGGCTTTTGGGATCTTAATTCCCCGATCAGGGATCGAACCCAGGCCGCCTGCAGTGGAAGCGTAGAGCCCTAACCACTGGACCGCCAGGGAATTCTGCTCTCCCCCCCCCCACACACACACTTATTTTTTAAATGCAAAACCACTACCACTAATGCTGTGGTTCAGGTTGTCTTGATCCATTCTACACTTGGTTCTAAGTCTTCCTGGGGTTAAAAAGATGTGCTTCTGGGAGTCTGACAGTGTTTCCACCTACCTGGGCTTGCCTACATGTTAAGACAGGCAGACTTCCTGTTACTTGAAGTGACTCTGGACCAGAGTCACCTGAGGATTTTTGTTGATGCTGCTGTTGGCTCCCCCAAACCCCTGCTTTCTGTTGGTTGAAGCTGGGCTTCAGGACTCCAGAGGGGGCTGGTCTTACTGAAGCATGCCCAAGTCACCCTGTGAATTGAGTCACCCTCAATCATCTGCCCCAAGGAAGTCTGGAGCTCCCTCCAATCATCATGGGGTGGTGAGACCTGGACTGGGCGGAGATGAAACCCCTTGTCCACCTCCCCAGCAAAGATCTTTTGATTTGATGGAATCCCTAAGGTCTGTCAGTAGTCTTCCCACACTGCTTGAGATACCTCTGAATCAATGGGACCCTAGGGCACGTTGCATCTTTCCTGTTTCGGTTGTTAGAACATTTTCCCACTCATATCCTCAGGGCCCTACAGCTCTTCCAGTTCTTTTTGTTTTTTGGCCACCCTGCACAGCATGTGGGATCTTAGTTCCCTGACCAACCCGTGCCACCTGCAGTGGAAGCGCAGAGTCTTAACCACTGGACCACCAGGGAAGTCCCTCTTCCAGGTATTTTAAACAACCACCGGCTGATTTTAGGCTTGCCATCCCGACTTTAGTGCTCCTTCCAGACGCAGTGGCTCGGGACGGGGCGAAGGGTGTGGGCTTACGTTCAGGACACGTTTCTGGGGCTGGGAGTGTCAAATACCATGGAAGGGCAGCAAGTGGATCTGTAATACAGATAATTCCATGGAGCAGCTGGCCTTCTAGCTTTGGAGGGGCTCCCGTGGGACGCCCATGCAGGATTTAGGGCCCACACGTGTGAAGGAAGAGCCTAGGGAGGGTGTTGTTTGTACATACTGGGGCAACCTGGAAGCTGCTGGAAGCTGTTTTCCCACCTAAAGAGGGCCCTCCCCTCAGGCCGACATTCTGAGGCATGACGTTTGGCATGGCCGTTCTGAGCACACCCCAAGCCGGGCCCCCACTGCATTTGTCAGTGTGAAGCCCTGGGGAATGGGGATGTCGCTCTGCGGAAGGAGGGGGGCCCACCACCCCGCGCCCCCAGTGAGCAGCTTGCAGCAGGGCTGTTACAAAGGCGTTTAGTTTATTCTCCTCATCAGTATCACTGATATTCTCATGGTTCACATTTCCCAGTGCGGCTCCTCTTCTTACAGTAGTTAATGTGCAATCTCACTTATGGGCCCGGGGAGGAGGGGCTCGGCCCAGGGCAGGGAGGGTGTTGGCACTCCACGCGGACAGGGCGGGTGGTCTGTCCTGCGTGAAAGAGACGTGGGTGAATGGGCGGCCGGGGGAGGTGGAGGGGGGCCCCCATAGTCTTTTTTGCGTTGGTCGGTGATCCTCCATTCATGTTCCTTCCGGGCGGCCCGGGGGGGGGGGGGGGGTTGTGGGGTCCATGCAGCTCAGGGCAGGGCAGGGCCAGGGGAAGGGAAAGCAGGAAAAGCAGCAGGCCGCCCAAGAACGGGGAGGGCAGGGCGGGAGGGCGCAGGGGCGGCTCCTGGGGTAAGGCACAACCCTGTCTTTGGCTCTCCTGGTGAGGAGTTTCCTCCCCTGCGCCCCTGCCCAGCCCCTCTCCCCCGCCCCCTCCCCAGACCTATACACACAGTCCAGGGAGCCAGGGGCACCTCCTGGAGTCCCTGAAACAAGAGGGCTCTGCCACCCAACCCAGTGCTGCAGGGGCTCGGAGGAGGGACGGGGCAAGCCCCACGCGAGGACAAGGCGAGGAGGGGCTGGACAAGGGCCTGCCCAGGACAAGGGGGTGGGGAGGGAGAAGACCCCAGTCCCAGAGAGCTGGCCCCCGCTGAGGCCTGGAAGGAGGGGAGCGCCCGGGGACTCCTGCTTCCTTTGGGGTCTGGCTGGAGCCCCAGCCCACCCTCGGCCTTGGTCGGCCCGGCAGCTTGCCGAGTGCCAGGATGTTGTGCTTTGGGATCTACGCTGGGGTGGGGTGTCGAGGCCGGGATGAGGGGGCAGAGGAAGTGCGACTAAGGTGCTTGTGCTTTAGCTGGGGCTGTCGACTCCCCCCCACGCACTCGGACCGGCTGAGGGCTAAGGTACTGGGGCTGGGCCAGGAAAGCAGAGCGCCAGGGCCCCGCTGGTCTGACCCCACCCCCACTCCCACCCCCACCCCCCGGCCCCTGGCAGCAAGCAGATGTCAGGAAGGACCCGCTCCCCGCAGGCTGGCAGGGGTGCCTGGGGGGGGCGGGCAGGCCTCCAGGTCAGATCCCAGTGGTCCAGCTGGCCACCACCCCACCTCCTGTAATCCCCTTGCCTTTGGAAAGAGAGAGGCTGCTGGGAGCAACGGGCTAGTCAGACTGCGGGGGAGACAGAGGCGGTGAGAACCAGGGCTAGAGACAAAAATGTGAAATTGCAAAGAAACGGACACCCAGCATGTGTGGGGAGGGGTGCGGGGGGGGGGGGGAGTTAAAAAAACAAAAAGAACCCTCCGAGTTTACATGTAGAACTCAAAAAAAAAACACAAAACCACTCGTGGAGCTAGGCCAAGGATAGAAAGAGAGGAATGGTAAAAGAAGATTCTGCAAACAATCTTTAACCATGAAGCGGACCCGGCCCTGCCAGGAGCTGGACTCAGCCAACCGGACAAACCAGGGACACCCTTGCAATGTAGCCCTTGGGGGGAGGCCCTGGGGTTAAGTGTGAGCCGGCCAGACCCACGGGAGCCCAGGCAGAGCGGGGCCTGGGGGGCACCCCCCTCGGCAACGCGCGCCCCCAATCCACACACACGCGCACATTCAGCCTGCCCCTGGCTCCCCACTCCGTCCTGCCTTCCACAGCCCCGAGGACCGAAGGGGACATCAGACACGGTCCCGTTGGTTTGAAAAATAAAAGGAATCTTATACTTCAATATTTCATTAGCTAAAAAAATGTTTTAAAAAGTATGTACAGGGGGTGGGGGCTGGGAGCCCTGCCGTGGGGGGTGGGGGTGGGGGAAGGGAGGGAAAGGCAGCAGCACCCCCCAGCCTGCTCCCCTGGGTTCCACCCCTGGTCCTACTGCCTCTCACGTCTTCATCTGTTTAAAAGCAAAACTTCTACACACGCACGCGCACACACACACACGCACACCCATACGCTTCTGCGAGCCCCGGAAACCTCTCCTATTCTCAGAGACCCTCGGTCTGCCCCCAAGGGCCCCCTCTCAGGACTTGCCCCTCTCAGGCCCCAGGGGGCTGGTGGCGGCAAGAGAGGCTGAGCACAGGTGGGGGAAGAGAAGGGCGCTGGGCCTGCCACCGCCCGCCACCTTAGGTCGGTCATGGAGTTTCTCTGAGCCTCAGTTTCCTCAGCTGTAAAACGGGCAGTCCTCACGGCCTCGCCTACCCCAGCCCCCAGGCGCAGGGACAGACAAGGGAGACAGGAAGGCGCTTTTGGAAACGTGGAAGCACTGGGAGGTGGTGGCGGGAGGGGTCCTGAGAACCCGGGGCCCCTGTGAGTCCCCAAGGGGCTGCAGTGGGGGGCGGAGGCTGAGGAATGCTCCGGCTAGGTGGCCCAGCGCCTGGGAAGGGGGTCTTCCCAAGCCCCCCAGGCCAGCCCCTCCCTGTGCCTGGCCTGGTGAGTGGGGAGACAGTTGCTAGGGGTTAGGAGAGGGGGAGCAAGAGCCCCCCGACTGTGCACGAGTGTGTGCTAGAGAAGGCAACGCAGACCTCGCACCACCTGCCGTCCTCTCCCAGCCCGGATCCCTGATCGGATTGGGGTCAGGGGGTGGGACGCGGAGGCAGAGGGGCCAGGAGCATGCAGTGCCCCCCGCGGGTCCTGGGGAAGGACAGACAGTAGCTCGTGACCAAGATGGTGGGCGGGTGTGACAGGAGGGGGAGTGTGACAGCCCCGTGGGAGGGTCCGATGGGGGTTACTGGAGGGCCTCCTCGGCCGAGGGGCCGGCCTCGCCGTCATGGCTGGCCGTCTCGAAGCCGTGCTCCACACCCATCATGTCCGGCTCTATCTTGCCCGTGTAGCTGATGAAGGTGGTGTACGCGTCACCCTCGGCCATAAGCGGCTTGACCTTGGGGATCCAGCTCTTCCTCACAACGCGGCGGGCATTGGTGC